GCCTTATTTTATTAGTTTATCACTTGAACGTAATCTTAGTGATACCATTTTAATGCCCTTCTACTAGAGCTGAAAGGAAAGAAAAATAGTTAAGAGAGAAGATCTTGAACCGATGAAGGAAGAAAATAAACCATCCAAAGATATCTTTGAAGAAGAAGTTAAAATCACCAGAATTAAACGTGGAAGATGTTTACGAAAATTTGAAAAACAATAAAGAAATTAATATTGAGAATCATTTTGCAATGCAACGTTATCATCATCTTTCGGCTTTCGATTTAATATCAAAGGCACCACTAATAGACGAAGAAAACAAATGTCGAAAGCAAATGACAAATGAATATTATCCGAAAGGCACAGATGAACTAAGGAAAGGCTTTGCTGTGAAATATAGCCGAGGAACTGGTCCGCCATGGAAGAGGTCTAGGCGCCGTCAAGAAAAAAAAAGGAAGACTAATTTGAACACTGTCCCTTTTCTTCCTATTTAAATGTGGTGTAAAAATATTTGTTTAAAACTTAAAATTTTCGGCCTGAAAATTTGGAAACTTATGAGAGAAGTTATCTTTTCTCTTTAACAATTGAGCAAGCCGAGCTTATAGACTTTCGAATTTTACAGAGCTTTTCCCTTCGGCAAAAGTCTCTCCGTTGGGGGAGAGGTTGTAACAACTTTAAATAATATTAAAATCTTGTAGATTAAATAATTTAAATAGATGAACATTAAGGTATTTGTGAATGGCAATATTTGAAACCAGACTCGAGTGCCACGTGCGACTCTCGCACGAAATGCAATTTATTTTTAAATGTTAGTATTCTTTTTTCTTCTTGTTTGTATGTCGCCATTTTGAGTGTTAAATAAAAGTTATTGCTGTGTTCCATCATTGGAGTTGCTTCATATCGCCAAAGAAGTATTACAATTGTTTGTTGTACAGAACCAAAAATATACAATGGCTCACAAAAAACAAACGCATACGACAAAGCGTAAGCAAACAAAAGTGTTTGTACGCTTATGAGTTTTAGTGAAATATTGCTTTATTCCCTAGTAAAAATTAATATTTAGAATGAAAATTTTTTAATAATATCTATAAATTTCTGTTAGCAAAACTACATTAATTAATTTATGAACGTATTAAAACTTTTTTTTTTTTTTTTTTTTTTGGAAAATCAATAAGAAAAAGTAACCGAAAAGTTACCTCACAAAAATCTTCGTACACTTTAAAGAAATCTACGCATATTAGTAAATATTGTAGTATTTCTGGCAGTTACTATTTTGTAGTATAAGGTATTTCTCCCACCTTTTTAGCATGCTTTCGTACTGTCGTGGTCTGCCCGCTAGTCGCGTATTCCAGAGGTCCATGGTTCGATTCCCGTCGAAGATGTTGCTCATTTTTCATCTTGCCTGCTTCCAAAAATACTTAATGTCTCTACAGTGGGGCCCGATGATTCTTCCACACCCAGAATTTGGCGATTGGGCCCAATAAAACCCGTCGCCCTTTAAAAGGGGGAGTATATACGGTATTTCTCCCGCCTTCTTCGCATGCCTTCGTGGTGTGGTGGTCTGCACACTCAGCGCGTAATTGAGAGGTTCCACGGTTCGATTTCCGGCGAAGGCGTCGCATATTTTTCATCTTACCTGCTTCCAAAAAATACCCAATGTCTCTAAAAGCTTTCTATTTTTTGTACTTTCAAAAAAATTTTTTCGAGCAGAGCGCCCATGTAATCCAGCTGATCTGAGCACTCGTCAAACAGTTTTAAGTGAAATTGAAGTACAAAAGTTTTCAGTAAAATCTGTAGAAATCTTTACAACACTCAAACATGGATTTTTCGCAGATTTTCTAACTATAAATCTCTTATGACATTGAGTCACGTCAATTCCTGTTTCCCGGAGAACCTCTTCTTACTTTATTTTGGATCCGATTTTCTTCTTTAGAGCATTTTATCACGTACTGCACTGACGAATGTTATAAATTTACTAATTTAGCGATATCCCGAATCGAACTTCCCTCCTTATAAAAAAAAATAATCAATTTTCGAATGCTGTTCGTTGCTTCTTTACGGCTACGAGACATTTTTAAACATTAAAGAAAAGACAACGAAGTAAAGAAGCAAAAGATAAAGCCAAGCAATTTTTTAAACGTCAACAAAATTCAAAAATACAAAAAAGTTGTAGACGATCATTTTATTTATGAAATTTTACGAAAATGTTTTGGTGTACGATCACTTTTGTGGCGTGTTTTATCTATGCCTCCTTACATTTTCAATTTCAGAAAAAGAAAAAATATCAGTACTAAAAATTAAAAAGTTAGGTTTTATTCAAAATCACATGGAGATGATATGAAAAAATATTGAACTTTATATTCGAATTCAATTTCGGGTTACAGAGCTTTTTCTGCAAATTCTCAAAGCGTCCGAACACTTGACATGACAATGTAGATCTTTGATTATTTGTCACTGAAACAAGTAGTGGTAACCCTTAATGTATCTGGTAACCCTTAGGACGTAATATAAAATCTGAAATCTTTCAATTTTTTTTTTCATTCATTGTTTCTAAAGATGTATTTAAAGATTTTGCAATTCACTTCTACATCGGCGAACTTTCACTTGTTACCAAAGATGCGGACTTGCGGTTTTTCTCTTTCCGATTAATAATGCTGCTCAATTTGCACTTAGAAATTTTAATACCATGCATTTCACAATATTTTTTAATTATGTAATAGAAGCATTTCTCTTGGAAATGCGCAAAAGCATATCCTTCAATCCATAGCTTGTTTACATGCAATATTTCAAAGAAAGAATAAATTTAAAAGTAGCAAATTTTATTTCTGATTTCAAATAATAAGCTATTCCCAGCAATTTTATTCCAAAAGCATTTGCTTTTTTAAATTTTTTATCGAAATGTGTAAACATTCTTCGTATTTAAACTGTACATGTTTGACAGAAAAATGTGTGAGAAAGGAATTAAAATGTTCCGAAAGAAATGCTATTCTAAATGAATATTTACCTAGAAACAAACTAATGAGTAAAAAACATAAAAAAATAAATTAAAATAATCTGAAAGCTTTCAGATTTTATATTACGCTCAAAGGGGTGGTTTTTTAAGTTTTATGTGTTACCTTTATTTATTAAATATCATGTTCTTCGCACTTCTAAAAATGCATAAAATTAGCATGAAGTTCTGTTCAACAGGATAATATCACAAACTATTTAAAAAGAGCATATCTTTAGAATTTCCGATACACAGTCTCACGTGCTGGAGATAAAAATCCCCCCTCACAGTGTTGCCATTGGTGGGCTTTGAAATCGTTGAGTTTGCTAATCAAAAATTCTTTAATGTTTGACAAAATATGAAATTCTTACTAATATCATAAATGCGAATGTGAGTTTGTTTGTGTGTTTATTTGTTTGTTGCGCTTTCACGCCTTAATTACTTAACCGATCATCATGAAATTTTCAAAAAATATTTTTGTTATATTAGAAAAGGTTATAGGCTATAAAATGTCTTCGTACGACTTAAATTAACCGAGATATTAATTAAAAACTACTTTTCCCCTACATTTTTCACTTACTTTGTTGGGTTTTTCCCTATTAAAATGATTTGGCTTATTAAAGGGATTATTAGGGGCTTTATTAAAGGATTTGCGCCAATAAATTGGCACCAATTTATTTTTTCACAAATATCTATGGAACGGCGGTTAGTTGAATTTCGAGGTTGGACACATATCCGCTGATTCCAAAAATTCGGTCGGAATCCATCGATACCAATTCTCATCTTCGTACGACTTTAATCAGCTGAGATATTAATTAAAAACTCTGAAAACGCTAATTTGAATGCTACTCAATAGCGACATTAGGGATTTTTTTTCTTGAGTTTTTCCCGTGTGGGTCCAATAAATTGGCGATAAAAATTATAACTTTTGATTTAATCATCCAAATTTCTCGAAATTTAGAAACTTTTATCGCTCTCTGAATAATAGGAACAATGGTGGTGTAACTGTTTTTGTCGCTTAATTATTTCCAGCTTAATCACAGATAAAACAATACTCCGCTTGCTATTGTTACCTCTTTGTTGACAGGCTGTGATTCGAAAGCAACGGGGGAGGCTGGTATCCGGTCGACCGTTGGGTTGACGAAAAGTTCATGGATTTACACGTGGAAAATCATTTTAAAGTTAATAACTTCTAATTAACTTACCGACTTGAAACTATTATCCACATTTCGACTTTTTGTGATATATTTAATGTTTTATTTCGTATTTTTTTAAAGATCTATTCATTCGTGTTATACATTTCTGTTATTGTTGGTTGAAAAATTGCATTTATATTTTATATTCTTTACATTTTACTGTGTGCGATAAAAAATTTTGTTTTATCATTTTAAGGCGCTCGAATGTTCTTTATTTTGAAATTTTATGCGGAGTGTATTTTTAAAATCCACGCGGAGTTGAAACTTATTTAAGGACATCAACGCGAGCGAAGCCGCCGGTAAAGCTATTCATTCGTGATAATAAAACAAATTCCAAATCTGGGCTTCCAGATGCCCATATTCGAATGAAGGACTACGTTATCCAAAATTTGATGTCTCTAGCTACCGTTGTTTTTTCAGAGTGCGAGAAACATACATACATTCATGCAGATTCTTCATTATTTAATTTCTTTAAATAAAATGCAGGGGTCTAATATTGGGTGGCAACTATTTGAAAAGTAAACCGACGTAAAATGCCAAAACGAAATAAATAGCCCTTCTGGGCAAATTGTTCTTTGGGTTAATACAAAGCTAAAACTTTCTTAATTCCTTCCTTTCGCTCAATATGCAAATTTTAATCAATGCCTATAATGAAGCAATATCAAGGATGACTGACTTCACAGCCAGAGGTCGTTTACTCTCGCAAATAAATGCCGGAAACTTGCCTCAATTTTCATTGCGTATATCTGTTCCTGCAATTTTTTCCACAGACTGTTTTTGAAGAAATGTGAATGCAAATGAACTCATGAATAAAGGAAACTTACGTCAATTTCCATGTCTTCTTGGTCGCACGTTATCAACTTCCGCCGGAACACGAGCGAGGTGTGAGTGTCGTTTTCGTTTCCGGAAAGCACGTGCCAGTCTTGGGTCCGATCCACGGGCGGCAAGCGATTGCCCGTTCCATGCCGGTCCTAAGGAGAAGGATATGAAATCATTCACATGGGAGGGAATTAAAAGACTTTTCACTGAATCATCACGTAACACAACAGAATTCCCAAAACTGGGATAAAGAAAGCTATCCGGATAATTGCGTTGTACTCTTTTTCTTGTAGACCAACTCGGTTCTACTTATTTCAGTTCAGGTACTGAAATTCTCCCTCCTCTTTGTATAAACGAAGTCATTTTTTTCTCGACTATAGAATTAAAAATTTTCATGTGGAGACCATATGACACTTCCTTGTACGGCCTATTAAATTACACACATTTTTTATCTATATTTCACTTAAACTTATTTCCTCGAATTATTCTAACTTAATTAGCCGATCTCTGAAACCAAGTTGAAAATGACATCAACAATTTCAAATTTTTGAAATTCTATATCGTGGTCAATTTTTGTGGTACGGGAGTCAAATTTCTTATTTTTATGACATTAAAAATTTCAAATTTTAAAATTAAATATGTCAGTCAATTTGTATCGTACGGAAATCAAACTTCTTATAATTTTATATGTTCATAACAAATGTAAAACTCTTCTGAATATAATTATAGGAACTGGAAGATCGTATTAAAATTAAGATTTCCTTATTTGTCAAAAACAATTTTTTTAATTTTATTTATTTATTTATTTAATTTTTTGACTTTGCCAAAGCATGAACATTTTAGTCATTTAAAACACTTCTGTAACTGGAAATATATGACTACGAACAGCGACAGTGAAAATAAAGCCCGAATAATGACTTTTAAACGGGGTAATGGGATGGTTATATAGACATATACAAGGTGATTCTAAATTGTTTTTACAAATTAAGAGGGGTGATAGTACCCATCCAGACGAGCAATAATTACCATAGAACATAGGGTCACATTTCGTTCTGAGAGGCAGAGAGGAGGAAAGTAGGAAGGCATCAAAGAAGAACAAGGAGACTATCTCCTACGAATTAACGGTATGCAAATTTGCACTGAGAAGAAACTACATTTTACTCTTAGTTCGTACCGGAGAAAGCCAATCAGAGCAAACGACGTCCTTGAAAAACGGCGCAATATCATCGCTTCCAGTATTACCTTGATAACATCGTCCGAAACGTTTCGTAAATGCTATGGTGGAGTATACGTACCAGAAATTGGCAGATACTCACCTCACATACGGTGAAGCAAAAGGGGAATAGACGCGAGGCACGAAGATTGTACAAACGGCGATTTCTAACTCCAAGTCATCCAACTTTTTCCAGTGTCGATCGAAGACTACGAGAAGCCGGCTCTTTTGCCATCTCAAAAAGCAATCCAGGGCGTTTGCGAAATGCACGAACGCCAGAAATGGAAGAGCGAGTTTTGACTAGATTTGAAGCAGCTCCTTCCAAAAGCACGCGAACGGTGGCATACGAAATGGGTATTTCTCGGCCAGTAGTGTGGCGTAGTTTACACGAGGAACGCAAGCACACCTACCACGTGCAAAAAAGTGCAATCTTTGGACACAGATGATTGATTATCTCTGCCGGGCAGACTTTGTGCAGTGAATCCTTGGAATGAGAAATAATGATCCACGATTTCCTGCATTATTTAGCGATGACGCCTATTCAGCAGAGAAGGCCTTTTCAAAGTGCACAATCAACACGTTTGGTCTGACAGCAATCCTCACTGCACAATCCCCCATAAACAGGTACAGGTAGAAGCTAGGCCAGCACCTCCGTAGTATCAAAGGTAATTGAGGTATTGCTGAACCTAGCTAACTGTTAAACTTTCTACCCCAATTTTGAGGAAGAACACCCCGGGGGGTGGTCCGAGGCTCTCCCGCCCCTCTTTTTAGTCCAAAGGGATTTCAGTCCCGAAGGACTATTGCTTTCGTTTTGGCATTTTGCGTCGGACTCATAAACGTCGGTTCACTTTTCAAACTGTTGCCACAAAATGTTAGAGTCCTGCATTATATTTGAAGAAATTAAATAATGAAAAATCTGCATAAATGATTGTCTATTTCTCGCATTGTGATAAAACAACGGTACATAGAGCCATTCGAATTTTGAATGACCTAATCCTACTACGAATACGGGCATCTGGAAGATCCCAAATTTGGAAATTTTGAATTTTTATTATAGATTTTATATTTTGTAAAACTTTTAACGAATTTTTGAGATTTACAAACTCAATGCGATTTAAAAGCGAGAGAAAAATGGCTGCAACGTTATATAGAAATAAAATACTTTTTACCTCCAGCTGCGCGGAGACTGTGTATATCGGAAATTCTAAAGATATGCTTAATTTAAACATTATTTTGCGATATTGCTCTTGAACTGAATTTTATGGTTTAAGTGCAAAGAACATGATATTTAATAAATAAAGGTAACACTCAAAAAGTTAAAAAAACGCCCCTTTGGACGTCATTTAAAATCTGAAAAATTTCAGATTTTTTTTTTTTTTTTTTTTTTTTTTTTTTTACATGGTATAGATGGTATAGATTTTACATGGCTGAGATAACTGAGTTCTGGTATTAATAGTGTACACAAATCATATTGAGAAAAGACTGTCCTTGAAAATTTCAACAACTGATGTTTCCAAAAGCATAAATGTAAGAATAAATGTCTTTTCTAAGGCGGAAGGTGAAAAGCAGAAAATTTCTGTGAAGGTCTGGGCAGGTATCCTAGGTGATTACCTGGTAGTCCTTACATCATGCCAGACCGTTTGACCGGCGCAACATACCGTATCTTCCTGGAACAGGTGGTTCCCAGTTTATTGCAGGCTGTTGCGCTCCCCATCCAGAGAGAGTTTAAGCACGATGGAGCCCCAGCACATTTTCCCGTCACAGTCCGGAGGCACATGAAATCTTTAGTGTAAGAGACGCCTGTAGACTCAGCTGAAGATCTCGTGGCCAGAATAGTTGTTGCTGCGGTTAAAATTAATACGACATCAGGGAACTTCGAGAGGGTGCGCCAGTCGTTCCTTCGTCGATGTCAACTGTGCAACGTGTGGTCGGCATTTTGAGCACTTTCTGTAAGCTTTTCACTAAATAAAAATCTGATTCTTTAATTTTTGGTCACGTTCACCAATACTGTTGTAAGTTCAGTTTGGAATTCTAATATTCCTCTTTTCTGCTTCTCACAGTGGAATGCGACCCTATGTTCTGTGGTAACTATTGCTCGTCTGAATGGGTACTATCACCCCTCTTAATTTGCAAAAACAATTTAGAATCAGCCTGTATATACGTTTAGTGCTGCCGATTGCAATAAAAGAGGGAGATGCACAACTAGATATTAAAGTAGTCCCATATACAAAATTTCAGCGTTCCACGCCTAATCGTTTTAGAGCTATGCGGAATACATATATTATGTACATACGTACGTACAGACGTCACGAAAAACCCGTTGTCAATCCATTTTAAATCAGTTTTAAGATCCGTTTTGGAAAAAGAGTCCTTTGTTTTGTCCGTACATACAGACCTCATGCAGAAACATCGCCCAAATAGATTCGGGACTGGTTAAAATGAATATTTCCATTGATACGCGACACCCGAAAATTTTCGGCAATTTCGACTTCTGTGCAAGAAAGCAATAAAAAAATAAAAATAAAGTTTCTGTAAAATAAGCTTTTATTTAAAACTCAAAATTAATGGAGTAAAATAATTTATCATGTAGTTTGGTGGTAACAAGAGATTAATTAATACTATCTGCAAAATCATTTACAAATTTTACATCACGAATGATAAAAGCGTAGGGGCGCCTTCGATAAATTTATAAAATAATGGTTCACACTTTTCACAATATACTTATTCATTACCCCACGCCTTTATTATTCATGATATAACAATTTAGATGTATTTATAAAGAGAATTATTTAATTTCTTGGTCCAGTTAAACTATATGACAAATTAATTTTCGTATTTTAGTTCATTACTGAATTCCTGCCATTAGCTCACACTCTCCCTATATCTTTTCCAAATTTTCAATCGTTAATAAAATACTTTTTATTCATCCACTCAAGTTCAAATACACTTTTTTAAACTTGTTTTAGATGACACTTGATGTTAATAAATTTAATAATTTAATACATAATTTAAAAATTAAAATTATACATTTTAATAATAATTATAATCTATACATATATAGACAAACATGTTAATTAATACATCATTAATAATTATAATTAATGTTAATACATTTAATATATAATTTTAAAAAAATAATTTTTAAATTATAGACCACCATCAGCTTCATAAATTAGAAACGATAAATGTTAATAATATTAATAACCTAAGTAGGAATTTACTTTAATTTTTTTTAATGTTGCTTGCTTTTGTAGGTTAATACGAGCATAAAAGCTTATTTTATAAAAACGTTTTTTAATATTTATCTATTTTTATACTCATTTTTTTAATCTTAATTACATGTTGTCAATCAATGTTTTCATTTTTTAATCTCAATTACACGTTGTCAATTAATATTTTCATTTTTTAATCTCTATTACACTTTATCAACCTTGTTGCTGTTTTATTTAACTGAAAAACCATTTCTCAACAATAAATAATCCCGCTTTCGTTTCTCACTATTTTATGACATGAAAAGGTCAAATACACCCAAGATTTTGCCAGAAACTCAGAAATTACGTTAAACATCTCATACAAACTTAATTTATAAAAACTCTTTCCGATGTATTTGATGGCGTAAGCAGTAAAGTCTGAGACTATTAGTTTGCTCGTTAAAGGAAGCTATATATAGTCGCCATATATACATCACGAAAAAAATCTCTTTTGAATCCATTTTAAATCCATTTGGGGGGAAGCCATTTATTCTGTCTATATGTAGAGATGTCACGTAAAAACATTATCCAAATGGATTCGGTTTGGTTTGGTTATCTGATTACGGCAAAGCACTCAAAGGCTATCTGCCTTACAGGGAAGGGAGTCTTTCGCAGAGGTCTTTCTAACGGAAACTGGGTCGTATACACATTACACATGGGGAAAACACCAAAACGCCTATGCAACCTGCCCGTTCGCAGGATTCGAACCTCGGACCTAACTATCAGTGTTCAGCGACTTTACCGCTCGACCGCTGGCGAACCCCAAATGGATTCGGAAATTGTCAGAATGTATATATCCATTAAAATATAATATCCGAAATTTTTCGCGATCACGATATTCCCTTTACTACATACAAGGAAGTAAAAAAATGAAGCTTACTTGAAAGTAAATTTTTCCATCCTTGATCCATCCTGTCACAATATCGCTCCCGTTCATACCACCGTTCGGAGACAGCCCAAGTCCGACGTAACCGTGGGTCTGCACCTCCAAGTGGAAGACGATTTCCTGCTCTTCCCTGAGCAGTTCCCAGGATATGTGATACTTTCCGTCGGGGTCGAGGACAGTGGTGTGGACACTGTCATCGCAGAAGATGACTCCAGCAGAGAACAACAAAACGAAACTTCCAGCATTGATCATGACACTGTCTTTTCTCCTGAGCTGCTCGCAAAGAATAGAATCACGGAAGTTCCAGTGAGGTATTTCACAGCAGCAACGTAAACAGAACTCAACCAATCAGACAATCAGATGTTGTTGTCGCGTTTAGCAAAATTCTCTCAAAATTGTTTCACGGATGCGCCGTGCAGAAATATTTTAACCGGGCAGTATTAAACGAGCGTACCATTTTGAGGTAAGAAATATCTTTGTATAGCAAAACTGTATAGCCGATTTTGTTATATTGCGTTGCGCTACCATGACATTTATAATCTAGTAGATGATGCCTATGCTTGAAACATGCGGTGACACACTCAAAAAAAAAAAAAAAAAAAAAAACCCGCTTCACAAAATATTGCCATTTGATATGATATAAATTTTTAATTTATCTTTCTTAGCATAATAATACTGGTTAACAAAGTTAGTGATTTGAAAGTAACAAAAGCATTTCTTAATAACTTGAATTTTCATTTTATTTTAGTAATAAATCTAATTGGTGTAATTTAAAATACGTTTAACTCATAATAAATCTAACTGATAATTATGAAAATTTGCAGCATCATTTTAATTACAAAAAGTCGTTTCTGAAAGCATATGTTACATATTTCAGAACAGGCTGCCCACACGGTATAGTGGTTAGGGAAGCCGACTGCGATACAGAAAGGCCCGGGTTCGAATCTCGGAGAAGGCATGCATGTAAATTGTCTGTCCTCTCCGGCTCCAGGGAGTGGTTGCATCTGGATAGTGGAAGGCGTGGGACATATGCCTGCTTACCCCTGTTAAACACCAGGCGTCCCCGTCCTCCGTCACCTGTCACCTGTCTGTCCTCTCATAGGAAGTAACGGTGGCCACCTATTAGGTGCCTCCACAATAAAATGGCCACCACTTCTGCCACGTAGGAGTGGCCAATGCTCAAAAAAAGGCAAGTGCAGGCCTTTCGAAAAAAAAAGTTCTTCAGGACAGAATAGTTTCGTTTTTCTCTCCAAAATTGTTTTAATTAAAAGAAACATCATAAAACAAAATTATGAATTCTAATATCTCGCAAATTTCCAAAACTCTCCAAGTGAAAGAATTTAATTCTTTGCAGGTAAGTAGCATCTGATCCACATGCATGCAGAAGTATATTAATAATAGAAAATTTATTTTAAGTTCCTTTTATGCTCAGATTTCCCATTTTACTTCCTTGTAAGAAGTACTTTGATTGCGAAAAATTTCGAATTTCAACGAAAATATCCATTTTGACGGCTCTGAAATCCATCTCAATGATGTCTTTGCGTGACATCTGTATATACGGACAGAATAAAAGAATCTTCTTTCCGAAATGCATTGAAAAATGAGTTTAAATTAGATTCAGGAGAAATTTTTTCTTGACATCTCCACGTACGTATGTACGTATCCAGCATAGCTCAAAAATGAGTAGCCTTAGTTGAAATGTTTTATTATGGAACTGTTATATCATTTAGTTGTACACTTCCCTCGGCCGCACCAAACATATTTATTTGTATATGTATTCCCATTCTGTTACTCGACTGAGTGAACTCAGTTTTTTTATTCTTATATGTTGGCAAATAGTGCATTTTTTTAAAGCCATTGAATTATGTTGTTCCGGTTAAGGTTTTTATGCCTTTAATTAATCTTCATGCAATAGTTGTTGAATTGTCAAAAATTTTAAAGTGGCACTAAGCCTGACGAGGCCGCCATTTGTTTATAGTTGAAACTCCTTTAGTAGAACAGTATCTGATGGCTCTAGATATCGTTGTTTTTACACAAAGCGAGAAACATACATACATTTATGCAGATTCTTCTGTATTTAATTTCTCTAAATAAAAATATCTCATAAAATAATACTTGATGGCAACAATTTGAAAAGTGATACACCGTTTTTAGTGATTCAACACACAATGCCGTTTCGACAATAATATTCCCAAAAGGGACGTCAGTAACTAATGTATAATAACAAATAAAAGGTAAAGGAGAAAATAAAAATATTAGTAATAAATTAAATTAATGACAAAAAAAATTATTAAGTCATAAAAATTAAATAAAATAATAAAAAATATATAAATTAAAAATAATTTTTAAAATATCATCAAAATCAAAAGAAACAATAGAACAAATAGTTTAAGATAAATAAGTAAATGAATTTATGACATATAGGGTACAGAGGATAAAAACGATGCAAATAGTTTAAATACTATGCTCTGTTATACGAGGTGTCATACAAAAAAATAACGAGACTAAGTAAGTTGAAAGATAGAAAACAGAGTGAAGTTGGCAACAACTGTTTTGGTGACTTCATGCCACATACCTCCTCTATCCATGCGGCCAGTTTCGACTTAACCAATCACGAACCAGCCACGCCAGTGGAGAGTACTGCATCATTGAGTAAACACGTGCAACTGCATTCTGCAAGAAAAATGTCTAATGTAAAAAAAACCGAACAGCGAATCAACATAAAGTTTCTTGCGAAAGTTAAAAAATCAACTACGGAGGAAACATTTCAAATGTTAACCGAAGCTTATGGAGATGAAACTTTGTCTCGTGCACGTATGTTTGAAAGGCATAAGCGGTTTTAAGGGGGAAGGGGCAGTGTGGAAGATGATGAACGTGCGGGGCGACCTCTTCACGTTCATCATGATTCAATCACGTTCATCATGATTGAATAAGTTCCGAGTGATCAGACTATTAATCAATACCACTAAACTGGAGCACTGAAAAGACTTCGTTAAAACATTAGGAACAAAAAGGCCATAATTGTGGAGTGATGGATGGCTGTTGCATCAGGGCAATGCAACCGCTCACACGGCCCTCTGTCAAGCAGTTTCTGACCAGCAAAAACATTACTGTGATGGGGCGTCCTCCTTATCCACCTGATTTGGCTCCATGCGACTTTTTTTTTTTTTTATTTCCTAAACTTAAATCTTACTTAAAGAGCTCATTTTACCTCAGCTGAAGAGGTTCAGGCAAAAACGGAAAATCTCGTGAAGGGCCCTTCCAAAACCCTCGTTCCAGAACTGTTACCAGCGATGGCAGCACCGAATGTAGAAGTGTGTGAATGCTAAAGGGAATTACTTTGGAGATGATAACGGAGAACTGATTCTGTAGGTACAATGATTTATTGGACCAATCTTTTTTTTTTTTTTTTTTTTTTTTTTTTTTTTGTCACACCTTGTAAAATAAAATTGCGTCATATTTTGGTTCTAATCCACTTAAAGCCTTCTTGACCAGATGAGTACAACTCAAGTGTTTTTGATCAGACAATAACAGCGCATACTTTTTTTTTCCCCCTTCCTGAATGGAACGTATTTCGACATGGGGACTTCCTTCCCCGTTTGCTAAACATTTCCAGAATATATTTCTCTTCACGAGAAAAACGAGACATATGTTCAAAATGTAGTTTCAGTACCAATTTCATTCACGAAATGCTAAAAACTTTTTGCAATAATAAAAAAAAAAAGGTCTATCAATGTTGTTATTAATTCTAGGATTAGAACACTCTATTAATGTTGTATTCCATAATTACAACATTCTATTAATGTAATGAATGTAACAATCTAATAATTATAAGGTATTTTCTCCCTCCTTTCTGCATGCCTTCGTGGTGTCATTGGAAGCATACTCGACGCGTAATCGAGAGGTCCAGGGTTCGAGTCCCGGCGAGGGCACTGCACATTTTTCATGTCTCCTGCTTCAAAAGCAGAAAAAGAAAACAACTAATGACTCTACAGTGGCGCCCGAACTAGGAGAGGGTGGACTATAATTCGTCACCACCACGATTTGACGATTGGGTCACCTAATTCGCAGTCGCTCTTTAAAAGGGGGAGTATATAAGGTATTTCTCCCTATATTCCGCATGCCTTCGTGGTGTAATTGGAAGCCTACTCGGCGCGTATTCGAGAGGTCTAGGGTTCGAGTCCCGAAGAGGGCACTGCACATTTTTCTCGTCACCTGCTTCAAAAAATACCTAATGACTTTACAGTGGCGCCCGAACTAGAAGACAGTGGACGATAATTCGTCACCACTTCGATTTGGCGATTGGGTCCCCTAATCTCCAGTTGCCCTATAAAAGAGGGAGTCCATAAGTATTTTTCCTCTCTTTTCCGCATGCCTTCGTGGTGTATGTGGAAGCAAACTCGAAGCGTATTCGAGAGATACAAGGTTCGAGTTCCGGCGATGGCACTGCTCATTTTCCAGGTCTCTTTTTTCAATAACTCTACAAATTTCATTAATGTTCCTAGTAATTTTGTATTCTATGAATGAAAAAGAAAATGCTGAACTTCGTGTTTTTAAGGCTCCAATGACCTCAGGACGAAATTGGAATTCGCTTAAAAGTTGACAAATACCGAAAGCACGGTCGGGCTGGATTGAATCCTTCACCATGTGAATATAGTGTCCCTGAAAAATATCAGTTGCTGGGAATTTACTCGCGAGAAATATTTATTTGAAACGCAAATGCTGTAGTTGAGGGCGGGGGAAACTCACTTCAGCTTAGACAAAAATTAATCGAACCTTCTAGCCTGAAAAGATAAATTAATGTCCTGGTGACTCTAATATAGTGAAAATGATATATGAATGTAATATAAATTAAAAGAACTAACATTTATTGTGTTTTTAATCTTGTAACACAAAACTAAAACTATAGAATATAAAATGACTTCGGCTCCTAGCGAAAATAACAGTAGGCCACGTATACAGTTCCCATAAATTATTTACCATTGTTAAAACAAGAATTTGAAAGAAAAGTTTAAGATTTTAATACAGTACAACTCCAATTATCCGAATTTTTTATTATCCGAATGGAGTCCGGTCCAATTGATTCGGATAATTGGAGTTCTACTGTAGTACTGAATTGAATTTTACATTACTTTTGCTAGGGGGAAAAAAAAAAAAAAAGATCGTTAGTAAAGCTCCGAAAAGTCTAGAAATAGAACTATTTAAGTTACTCTGTGATATAAATCTTATTCAATGATTTGAAGACACAATTTCATTA